CAGCAGCGCTTGGCCCAGTGAAGAACTCACCAGTTGGCCTTCCCACCGTTGGTGATCCACATCTTCTGCCCGTTGATGATGTACTCATCGCCTTTCCGCTCCGCCCGCGTCCTGATCCCGGCCACGTCCGAGCCGGCGCCCGGCTCCGTCACGCAGTAAGCCTGGAAAAACAACCCCCAGATCCCAAGGAATTCACCCTTTTTTTTTGGGAAAAAAGGTTTGGGAAAGCACAACGTCACGGCCAAGCGCTGGGCAGCGACCGAGCCACGGCACACAAGTGTCAGAGGCGCTTCTGTCGTTAATTAATGACTAAGCTAATGGGTTCCCTGATTGAACACACACCACGGGTTCCCCTGTCATTAATTAATTAATCAATGGGATTCCCTGATCAAACACACACCACGGGTTCCCCTGTCATTAATTAATTAATCAATGGGATTCCCTGATCAAACACACATCAAGGGTTCCCCTGTCATTAATTAATTAATCAATGGGGTTCCCTGATCGAACACACATCAACGGTTCCCCTGTCATTAATTAATTAATCAATGGGATTCAATGATCAAACACACATCAAGGGTTCCCCTGTCATTAATTAATTAATCAATGGGATTCAATGATCAAACACACACCAAGGGTTCCCCTGTCATTAATTAATTAATCAATGGGATTCCCTAATCAAACATACATCAGGGGTTCCCCTGTCATTAATTAATTAATCAATGGGATTCCCTGGTCACACTCACACACATCAGGGGTTCCCCTGTCATTAATTAATCAATGGGATTCCCTGATCGAACACACATCAAGGGTTCCCCTGTCATTAATTAATTAATCAATGGGATTCTCTGGTCAAACACACATCACGGGTTCCTCTGCCATTAAATAATCAATGGGATTCAATGATCAAACACACATCAGGGGTTCCTCTGTCATTAATTAATTAATCAATGGGATTCCCTGATCAAACACACATCAGGGGTTCCCCTGTCATTAATTAATTAATCAATGCGATTCCCTGATCAAACACACATCAAGGGTTCCTCTGTCATTAATTATTTAATCAATAGGATTCAATGATCAAACACACATCAAGGGTTCCTCTGTCATTAATTAATTAATCATTGGGATTCAATGATCAAACACACATGAAGGGTTCCC